GGGGGGGGCCCAAAAAACCCCCCCCCAAAAATCCCGGAGAAGCAAAGGCAGGACCCCCCGGCGAGGGACGACACGGCACATCCACCCAACATTCCCAAAAAAAACACCTTTCCAGGAGTAGGAAACACCAGGAAAAACCCAGAGCGAGGGGGAGAGTGGAAAAAACTCGGGAATTCTCTCTCGGCTCCGGCGCTTTTTTCATGTTTTTTTAGGAATTTTCTCACTTCCAAAAAAAAAGGCACAAAAAGTTTGGGCGGGTTCGACTTTCCCAAAAGCCCAAATTCCAGTGGTTTGGTTCTTTTTAGGAATTCTCTCACTTTTCCAAAGGCCACAGTTTTTCAGGAATTTCTCACCAGGCAATTTCAGCTTCCAGGACACAGGAATTTTTAGGAATTCTGCACAGATTGGGCGGGTTCAACTTCCAAGGCACAAATTCCAGTGGTTTTCAGGAATTTCACACCACAGTTCAACTTCCAAGACACAAATTCCAAGGCACCATCCCGGTGGTTTTCAGGAATTCTCTCACTTCCAAGGCACAATCCCGGTGGTTTTTAGGAATTTCTCGACACGGTCACACTCCAAAAGCCTCTTTTTTTAGGAATTCTCTCATTTCCAAGGCACAATTCCAGTGGTTTTCAGGAATTTCACACCACAGTCCAACTTCCAAGACACAAATTCCAAGGCACAATCCCGGTGGTTTTCAGGAATTCTCTCACTTCCAAGGCACAGTTTTGGGAGGTTTTTCGGGAATTTCACACCACGGTTCAACTTCCAAGACACAAAATTCCAAGGCACAATTCCAAGGTACAAAATTCCAAGGTACAATTCCAAGGCACAATTCCAAGGCACAATCCCGGTGGTTTTTAGGAATTTCTCGACACGGTCACACTCCGAGAGCCTCTTTTTTTTTAGGAATTCTCTCACTTCCAAAGGCACAAATCCCAAGGCACAATTCCAGTGATTTTCGGGAATTTCACACCACAGTTCAACTTCCAAGACACAATTCCAAGGCACAAATCCCAAGGCACAATTCCAGTGGTTTTCGGGAATTTCACACCACGGTCGAATCTTCCAAGGCACAATTCCAAGATACAATCACGGTGATTTTCGGGAATTCTCTCACTTCCAAGGTGCAGTTTGGGCGGTTTTTAGGAATTTCCTCGACACGGTTCAACTTCCAGGACACAATTCCAAGGCACAATTCCAGAGGTATTTTTAGGAATTCAGCGACATCGGTCACACTCCAGGGCATTTCCACATGGTTTTCAGGAATTCTCTCACTTCCAAGGCACAATCCCAGTGATTTTCAGGAATTCTCTCACTTCCCAAGGCACAAAATCCCGGTGGTTTTTCAGGAATTTTCCCACCACGGTTCAACTTTCCAAGGCACAATTCCAGCGTTTTTTTCCCGAATTTCTCAACACACTCCAAGAGCCTTTTTTTTAGGAATTTTCTCATTTCCAAGACACAATTCCAGTAGGGTTTTTTTTTTAGGAATTCTCTCCCAACCCCCAGTTTTGGTGGGTTTTAGGAATTGGTCTCCGAGGGCCTTTTCTTTAGGAATTTTCTCACCTCCAGGATCCACTTTTGGTGGGTTTTTTAGGAATTTCTGCCCCTCCTTGGAAGGTTCACCTTCCAAGATGGGGTTTTAGTGATTTTTTTTTTTTAGGAATTTCTTATGTTTGAGATCATTTCTTTGGGTATTTTTAGGGCTTTCTCCCCACACTTGGTTTTCCAAGGCTCTTTTAGATGATTCTTTAGGAATTCTCTCACCTCCAAGAGCACATTTAGGATGTTTCCACCACTCCAAGACCATCTCTTGGTGGTTTTCAGGAACTTCTCACCACTCCAAGACCATTTTCTTGGTGGTTTCTAAGATGCTTTCACCAGTCCAAGACCATCTCAGTGCATTTCAGGAACTCAATCAACACTCAAAGGCCACATTTGATGCATTTTAGGAACTTCTCGCCACTCCAAGAGCACACCCTGATGGTTCTCACCACTCCAAGGCTGTTTCTTGGTGCATTTTAGGAACTCAATCGACACTCCAAGGCCATCTTTTGGTGGTTTTTAAGACTTCCACCACTCCAAGACAACATTTTGATGCATTTTAGGAACCTTTCACCACTCCAAGGCCATTTCTTGGTGGTTTTCAGGAATTCTCACCACTCCACGACATCTCTTGGTGCATTTCAGGAACTCAATCAACACTCCCAAGGCCACATTTGATGCATTTTAGAACGTTTCCACCACTCCAAGACCATTTTCTTGATGGTTTCTAAGATGCTTTCACCACTCCAAGAGCACACCCTGATGGTTCTCACCACTCCAAGACTTTCTTGGTGCATTTCACGAACTCAATCAACACTCCAAGGCCACATTTGATGCATTTTAGAACGTTTCCACCACTCCAAGACCATCTCTTGGTGCATTTCAGGAACTCCAACAACACTCCAAGGCCACATTTCGGTGCATTTTAGGATGTTTCCACCACTCCAAGACCATCTCTTGGTGGTTTTCAGGAACTCCAAGAACACTCCAAGGCCACATTTGATGCATTTTAGGATGTTTCCACCACTCCAAGACCATTTCTTGGTGCATTTCAGGAACTCAGTCAACACTCCAAGGCCACATTTCGGTGCATTTTAGGATGTTTCCATCACTCCAGGACCACACTCTGATGGTTTTCACCACCCAAAGACCATCTGCCTTAGGACAAACTCCACTTTTTCCACCACTTTTCCACCTCAACCAGCAAGACCCAAAAAACACCAAACTGAGCAAAACAACCCAAAAACATCCCCCAAAAATAAAAAGCCACCAGGACAAAAACACACAGAGAGGCCACAGGACACGCACAGGAGGAGGACCAGCCCCCCGGCCCGGAGCAGAAACCCCCTTTTTGTGGTGTTTTGGCCCCAAAATGTGGGGTCCTGGTTGTGACTGTGCTGCCTGTGCCGCTGCAGGGGCCGTAGCGCGCTCGGAGCCTCCAGGGGTAAGAGAAAAACCCCCCAAAGTGGGGCCAAAACGGACTTTTTTGCCCCCCCCTCCTTCTTGACCAGCTGTAAGTAGCCCCTTCTTTTTTTTTATATATCAAAAAAACAATGAATTTTGGTCTGGAAATATATAAAAAATAAAAGAGCCTCGAGGAGGGAGGATAAAAAAAGGATTTGAGAAGGATTTGAAAAGGAATTTAACAGGATTTGAAAAGGAATTTTAAAAAAGGATTTTGATAAAAAGTCGCCTTTTCGCCCCCGTTTCGCGCTGCCTCAACCCCCCATCGCCCCCACCCCCTCCCCCCACCCAGCTCGGGGGGAGGGGGGGCTCATTAGGGGGTTAATTAGCGGCTCACCGGGTTAATTAGTGCTGATTGTGTTAATTGAGGGGGGTCGGGAGGGGTTTCCCCCCCTCTTTGCCCCCCCCTCCTTTTCCTACAAAGGGGGTGGTCCTGGGGGTGGGGGGGGGTTGGGAGCCCCAAAATTTCTCTCTGGGGGGACCCTAAAATTTTGGGGGGGGGGGGGGGGGGGGG